TCTATAAATTGCTGTAATCATAATTAATATGTTCTTTCAATTTTTCAAGATACGAACTGAAGTATACTATGTTAAAAGTATATCATAAAGAGTTTTTGAAAAAATCACATTTACTTTTTATAAAAATTTTTTTATGAATTAATAAAGATCCAATTTTGCCAAATGAAGAGGGAAGAAGAGAATAATTTATATTTGCATTCAGAAAAGAGTAAATTTTATACTTCTGCTCTGAAATTCAAAGCCTAAGAAGTGCGCCTCCTTTCATATTTTGAAAATTCTCTTATATTTTAAGGTGTTTTGTTAGAGTCCCAATTAACTTAAATATACATGATAATACCTAATTTGTAAAAACTAAGAAATGAGTTTAATAATTTAGGCATTTATTGTTAATCTTGAGATGGAAAATTTATTTTTATTCAAAAAATTAATTACTATTGGAGTGAACAATTAAATACAAAAGTGTATTAATAATACAAAGAAAATCTTTACTTTTTAATCCTAATCTAATGCTTCTTATTTACAAACTGAAAGGGAAAAAATCAAATAAGAGTATTCTTTATTGTTAAATTAAAGCCAATTATAGTTAGATGAGAAACTATTCAACTCTTTGGACACAAAATGATAAAGATTTAAACTCACTTGTTACAAGATCGAGATTTTTTTCAATTATAAATCAAATTTATCCTATAAGTCTTTAAGAAAAGCATTAAAAAAGAACCAAAAAAACTGATCTTTTAATAAACAGATGAAATATCGGAAAAATTAAACATTTACTTTTAAAAAATTTCAACCCTAGTAGATGAGATATAAGATATGAAAATATCTAAAAATATTATGAGTACAGAAGACATTAATATCACTACTTTGCAACCTCAAATCGATGATCATTCAAGAAACGATTGTGAAAACTGTTAAATTTCAAGAAAATGTAATGGGACCCTATGGGATACGTGGTCACAAAATTACCCTCAAAAGGGGATCTTATCAAATTATCATAAAAAATGAAATAAAACATTATTTACAAATGCTTTGCCTTAATGGAGTAAATATGTATCATGGTAGAGAAATAGAAATATTTGTGATCATTAATCTTTATCACAGAGTCATTTCTTTCTCAATTTAGATTTCTGTGTAAAAGAATAACTATAGGTCTTAGACCCTTTTACAATTATTTCTAGCGGCCTGTTTGAAAAATATTAGATGTCTTTCAAAGCTTCAATAAACGTAATTATAAAGTTTGTTTATTTTAATAAAAATAATTAACTTTGATTTGAAATATTTATAAGTACTTTGAGATTTTCTATATGCTATTAACTACTAAAATTATTAATTGCAGTTATATTGGGAAAAAAAATTGTATCGATCCATTTTCATCATCGATTAATCCTAGAAAAGCAGAAGCTTAATTCAATTTTTGGAATTAAATGGCATTCCTACAGAATGTCTTCTTTTTCAACCACCTCTTAATTTTTTAAAAATAAAACTCAAAGAAGCTAAACCTAATATTGAAAGTCAATCATTTTAAGGTTATATTATAATCTAAACTTTCTAATCTTATGCTATTATTGCAGACAAGATTGGATATATATACGAGTTGAATAATTCCTGTTTTCGACAAGCAACAATGAGCAAGATTAGCAGAAAAAGGACAAAGTACAACAAGTAATTTGTTTAGATATTTTGAAGAAAGAGTTTTATGGACCTATCGAAACTAGAGAGTGTGTGAAAAATAATATTTGAATTATGAAGATTGTATAAAGAAATAAGCAATCTTCGAAATCAAAGGTGATCCTTAATCCGTTTGCTTGGATCCAAAAATCAAAGCAATGAATGAATTTATTCAAAATATACAAAATGACAGGCTTTAATGTCTATATAACTAACGATTTATTGTATTCTCAATTAACTTTGTCATATTAATGATCAAAACATATAGTCTAAATTTATGACTTCTATACCGAAAAAATTGTTGATTTAATTTTAATAATACTCATTCGTTCACTTTATATGGAATTCCATGTTT